TGTGGGTCTCCCTCTACGAAAGTGCCTCTTCGGGGGTCTTTCAAGACAAAAGCCACACAAGGCCCTCATCCAGCCTCGTCCCTGCGGCCCACGTTCACTTACCACGGCAGAGGGACGTGGGGAGGCCACGGAGGAGGCTGGGCCAGGACATGTCGCCTCCGGGTGCGACCCTGCGTCGGGACAGCGGATGCTCCGCGAGGAGGCTGGGCCCCGGCTCGCACCCTCAGGGCCTGCGGAGTCCTCTGCAAGTTGAAACACAGCCCGTTATGTTAAAGTCCCGCAGCCCCGCAGATTCAGCCTCACCCAGAGTAGACTCCCAGGGCCCCCGGGAATGTTAGGAGAGAGTGAGGAGAGACGAGGGAGACGCCGGGAGAACAGGTAACCGCTCTCACCTCCCCAACCTAGCAAGGGTCGGAGACGCGCTAAAGTCGATCTCCAGCCTCTTCCGGGTACTCTCGTTAGCGATTGGCTGTTTCGCGAAAGGGGGGGCGGGACCAGGGTGCCAATTGGACAAGGGCGGAGTCAATCCCGGTTCAATCTTCCCCATTGGAAAAGGTCTCCGGAGCCGGGGCGGGAAGTCTCTCTCCGCGTCTGATTGGCTGGCCCGTGGGGCGTGGCTCCTCGTCTCCAGTCCAAGATGGCTGCGTCCATGGCGCGGTTCGTGGGGCCTTTTCTGGCTCGCCGGGGGCTCCGGGCCCGAGGACGCTGCGTGGGCGCCCAGAACCCGAGGAGAAGTTTCGCCGCGGAGAAGCGAGTGCGGAACCTCCTGTATGAACACGCGCGCGAGGGCTACAGCGAGCTTCCGTCCTTGGACATGGAGTCGGTGTGCGCATGCCCGGAAGCCACGGCGCGCGCCCTGGAGCTCCGCAAGGGGGAGCTGCGGCCGGCCGACCTGCCTGCGATCGTGAGTGCGCCTGCGCCGGCTGCGGGAGCAGGGGGAGGAGATGCGCGAGTTTGGGTTCCTTCCCGAGGCAGGCAGCGTCCGGTGCATCCCAGGCCCCGCTGCACGCCAGGGGCGCCTCCTGCGGCCTGCACGCCCTAATGCATGCGTTTCGTAACGGGACGCTTGGTGTCTGCTCCGCTCCCGGAGCTGAAATACCATTGTCTCCTGCGCTCAGACTTCCTGCCGGGCTCGCCCTAAGGCCACAAGGGAAAGAGGAGGAGTGAAGGGCCGATCGGATGGGGGAGGGCCTCCTGGAGACATCGCTGCACCCTGCTCTAATAGCAAACCCATCTATAGGCTCGAATGCATGAATCCCTGCCGAACAGATGTTTGAGCAGCGCTTACGATCCACGTGTTGAGACTGGGTGCGATTAATAAAATGTTTAGTGCTTCCGGAATGCGACCTTATATGGGGAGCTGGAATTGGGGGGGTCACCATGTCAGTGGTGAGTTCTGAATGTAATGGATCTGGCAAGTCTTCCTATCTCCATCTTGAGCCCTTCCGTGTTAGTTATTTTTCTGTTGCTGTGCCAAAACGCCATGACCAAACCAACTTAGGGAAAGTTTTTATTTTGGGGGGTGCCAGGGACGGAATGGCAGCAGGCGACAGAGCAGTAAACCTGAGAGCTCGTATCTTTAACCACCAGCATGAGACAGAGAGAGCAAACTAGATGTAGGGCAAGGTTTTAAGCTCTCAAAGCCCATCTCCAGTTACATATTTCCCCCAGTGAGACCACACCTCCTAAACCTCCCCAAACATCACCAGACACTGACCTCTGAGCCTATGAGCCAGAGACTGTGGGGGACGTGTCTCATTCAAACCCCCTCACCCTCCCACACCAGGCATTGTAAATTGTGTACGCTTTAGCCTCATTTAAGTTTCTGTGGGCCACATGGCCCAGGCGATAAGGACACTTGCTGCCAAGCTTGATGACCTGAGTTCAATTCCCAGGTGGTAGGAAAAAACCAACTCCTGAGAGTGTTGTCTTCTGACCCTCATGCAGGCACAAACACAAGAAATTAAATGTATATAATAATAATAATAATAATAATAATAATAATAATAATAATAATAATAGAATCTGTCTGTGCATGGTGGTTCTCACTTTTAATCCCAGTACTCTGGAGGAGGCAGAGGCAGGGAGATCTCTCTGATTTTGAGCCCAGCCTGTTCTACATAGCAAGTTCCAGGCTAGTCAGGAATACATAAAGAGACCATGTATTTGAAGAAGAAGAAAAAGAACCAGGGGAGATGGCTGGGCAGGTAAAGGTACTTAACTGCCAAGCTGACAGCCCTGGGATCCACACAGTGGAAGGAGAGAACCAACTCCTATAAGTAAGTTATCTTCTGACTTCTTAATGCCATGGCCACACACAAGATAAATAAGAAAGAGAAAAGAAAGTTTAGTCAT